TTCATTTCTTGTGTTACATATCTAATTATCTTTATAAATAAATATATTAAATTATCAGCAATTTGGTTTTATCTCTCTAGAGAACCCTAACACAGTACCCTCTAACCATAGACCAGGGATATGAATAACCTTACAGTCATGTAAAATTATAATACATTGGAATATGGATTGCTACAGATACAATTAGGTTAAAATTAACACCTTATCCTTTGGTCTCCCTTTTGACCCATTTTAAATTTGTTCTAGTTTTTAATATTTTCTGCCTTTTAATTGAGATTTTACTTTGTTATTGTTAGGGTTTTTTTAATTGTTTTTTGTGTGTTTTTCTGTTGAAATCCAGGACAGATAAATCTAGAGAGACAGTAATTGTTTTAATGGTTTCTTGGGGGCATGAGGGGGGAAAATGGAGAGCTAATAACAGTGAGTACAAGAAAGAATAAAATGTTCTAAAATTGATTATGGTGAAGATTGCACAACTCTTCGTAATAAGATTGAACTATGATACGTGAATTATAAGCCAATAAAATTGTTTGTATTTTTTAAGTTCTCATTTAATTCTATTACTAAAAATTCTTGGCTAGCTATATTGACTTGTTTATGTGTAATGATCGCTTTTGTATCAGGTGTACAAATGATTAGATATGAAAATATATTCTTATATGTAAATGCATGTCCATATACAGCATGTGAATGCTATATTGATGATTTTCATGTATAAAAAAGTAAAAATTTTTTTTAGGCTCACATTCTACTTGACTGTGGTGAAGATAATGTTTGTAAACCCAAGCTGAAAGTTTCTGTAGATAGGTAAGTTTTTGATCCAAATAATCATCTTTACAGTAGTGGTCTTGAGTAAGAAATATAAATAGAAGTATGTTCCAGTACTAATATAATTCAGTAAGAATTAACTATATTAGAAGACAATACATGATTCTCTGTGAGTAAAACTATTGAGCTTCAAAAAATCTGTGTTTTCCTTAGTAACCCACTTTTGAGGCATTTCTACTCATCATGCATGGTGCAGTGTCACAAAGTAATATATTCTCTAAAGAGAATATACTTCACCACAGGCATCTTCTCACACTCAAAACCATATTACCATCTTATCTAACATATAAATTAAAAAGAACTGTGATTGAAAATCATAGACAATCATTTTTTTTTCATTTTGAAAAACCAGGTATTAATAAGTATGTATAAATAAGTAATACATCAATAACAGATATGTGAATGATGAAATACTCGTGGCATCACTGCTTTCTCTTACTGAAGAGAAGCACTTGATTTGCACCCAATTTGCTATTTCCACTTTTCTATTGAGCTGTGAAGATCTCTTAAAATATCTTGAGACACCATTGAACATGTCAGTGCTATCTTTGTATTCGTCTCTCATCTCTTTGAACAGTTATGCTCTCCCCATGCAGTCTTTTTTCACTGTCTAGATTTGCATTCACTTGTAGTGATCAAAAGAAGATCTTTATCGGGGATGACAACCCTCTGACGTTGATTGTTAAGGCTCAGAATCAAGGAGAGGGTGCCTATGAAGCAGAACTCATTGTTTCCATTCCACCACAAGCGGATTTCATCGGGGTTGTCCGAAACAGTGAAGTAAGCAAGCAACTTCTTTAAGACTGCAATGCACTCATGCTGTTGTTAGGTGTTAAGTCGGGTCTCACTCACGTGACCCGCTGTACAACAGAAGGAAACACTGAGTGGTTCTTTGCCATCCTCACAAGTGCTCTTAGGTTTGAGCCCATTGCTGTAGCCACTGTGTCAATCCATCTTCTCAAGGGTCTTCCTCTTTTTCGCTGCCGCACTGCTTTACCGAGCTTGGTGTCATTCTCCGGGCTTAGGTCTTTCCTATCAATAGGTCTGAAATACATTGTCTCGCCATCCTTGCCTCTAAGAAGCATTCCATCTGGACTTCTATTAAGACAGATTTATTTGTTGGAATGCACCCATAGGCCTTATTAATATTAATGAGTTGCTCCCCTATTTAGTGAACTACTAGCTTAAACGTTCTACCTAAAACTAAATCACTAGACAATAAAGCACCTATCGCATAATTTCTTTCAAGTCTCATACTTTGCATAATGCATTGATAGGACAATTTTACAGTTGTTGGCTAAGTGTGTGATAACGGGCTCAGATAGATGAAATGTCTAAGCCTGTCCATCAAATTATTTGTCAGAGGTAATATAATTATGTATCCTAGTCCTCTAGGGAGCTTTCAGAAACGCATTTATATGTGGCAGTCATACATAATCCTGGCTTCTCCCTCACCTCCATTTGTTCAATTAGATTTATCTGCTTTGTTAAAAAAAAAAAAAAAAAAAAACCCAAACCTTGAATATTCAACTATTTGATATTGCTCAGGAACATTATAATCTTGTGATTTCTGGGGTTTTTTGTTTATACCAATAATTAATATTTCTTTCTACAAAGGCTTTAGCAAGACTTTCCTGTGCATTTAAAACAGAAAACCAAACCCGCCAGGTGGTGTGTGATCTTGGAAACCCAATGAAGGCTGGGATTCAAGTAAGACATTTTAATTAAACACATTTTTCTCTTTCTTTAAAGAGAATGCTATCGTTTTCCCTGGATTTGTCAATAGTAATTTTTAAATAAGCATTTCAGATTGATGTTATTAAGTTGGTTTTGATTGTGAGTTTAGTGATACACAGAATTTTGTTTCATTTTGACCAAGATAGTTAAATGATAGCTTGTATGGTGGCATGGATAACAAACTGCCTTCAGTTTGATAAAGGGATGAGACATAGTTTAAACTAAGGATTGATAGGGCCGTTATGGTATTTTGAACTGATGGATCCTCAAAGAGAAATCCTGAAAAACACTAAGCCCATCGTTCTTGAGTGAGGCAGGTTTACTCCACTCACTTTAAACACTATGGTACCAAATAGAATATTCATAGACAAACGTGGCTTATTTGGGTTCCCTTTCAGGAACTTGGGAGCTTGAGAAGAAGCTCCAGTTGGTCTTGTCTCAAATTCTCTAAAAGCTAACAATGTAAAGCAGTAAACCAGTTGCTATTGAGTAGATCCTAGCTCACGGTGACCTGGGTGTCAGGACAGTGCTGTGCTCTAGAGGTGTTCGCAGTGACTGACTTCACAGAAGCAGGTCCTCAGGATGGACTCAGACACACAGTGTTTGAGTTAGCAACTGATGCATTAACCCTTTGGACCAAGAGAGTCTTATTTTGTACCACTTTTCCATTAGCATTTATTTAATTTAACATTAAATATTGGTAATTTAGACATTGTTGATTTAGTGCTAAATACTTCAGAATTACTAAAGTACATTTTCAAATAAAATTTATTATTTCTATAAGTTTGGCATCTTAAGGAAGAGTGCTTACACAAATTCCCCAAATTCTAGGGGGCTTCTTTGCATGCATACATGTATAGTACAATGTTTCATTAACAAGTAATCATTTTATTTTCTAACATTCTTATTTTTTCTTGCTGTCTTAGTCATTGCTTATCTATGCTAAGATAGTTCATGGTTATGCAAAATAGCCAATGCCAAGCTTTGTAAATTAGGAGGCAGTTCAATAAAATGTCCAAGAAGTACTCTTTTTATATATCACTTAGATAATCCCTAAGAAACCTGCTTTCTTCACTGTGCTGCTCAGTTGTCATCTTTGTAGTCTAGCAACGTTTCCACTGCTGGAGTTAGGACATTTATTGTTGCTGGAGTTGTGAGGGGCATTGAGAAATTCCAGTTCTGGGTCTATGCATGCCTTTCTTTTAGCCAGATTCTCTCTTCTGTTTCTTCCTGACCCATTAACTTATCAGATTTCCATTACCAAATCATTTTGCATAATCATTTTGCTTTCATTGAATCAACACTGACATTTGACTAGTTCAATCGCTAATATTATAAGGAAGTATGAATAATGATTAAATGGTATTTAATAGGCTCAATTATGGATTGGCCCAAGTATCTTAAAGAGACTTGATAGAAAATGAGTATGAATCTTCTTTATCCATTTCAGTTTTGTTATGTCAGTTTTGAAAAGCCCAATTTTAGAAGATTTCTGTTCTCTTTCAACATTTGATGTGCAATTTCACTTATTAGACATTGTTTCCTGACATTGCCATCTCTTCCTCTCTTTTCAGCTCTTAGCTGGTCTTCGGTTCAGTGTGCACCAGCAATCAGAGATGGATACTTCTGTAAAATTTGACTTACAGATCCAGAGGTATACAAACCAATTTTATTAGCTTATAATAATGATTGGGAAAACACTGTTTGTTATAAATTGATTTATATAGTATGCTTCAGTATAAATGGGATAGAGGAGACTACAATTTCAGTCATTGTTTATAGCATTGGTAGTGTCAGTTTTGAATTTGTAAAACAAAACCTCAGAAATATAAATGGCGTCAAAAACAAGAAATGAAACTTGATCACCTTGAAATTAAGTGCTAGTGGAAATAATTATTTTGATTGATGAGTTTTTCTTTTTCTTGTTGCTTTTAATTTGTTCATTTTTAGTTCACTGAATTTGACTCTGTTTTACTGATTGTGTGCAATTTCGTTTTGAATTTTTCATTCTCTTTTTCAGCTCGAATCTTTTTGACAGAGTAAGCCCAATTGTATCTTACAAAGCTGATCTTGCTGTTTTAGCTGCCGTGGAAATAAGAGGGTCAGTATGATTTCTAAGTTGAGTATCTCATTCTCGTGACTGCTTTTTGAAAGTAACTACTAGGCCCTCGTTTTTCTCTGGTAGTTGATATTTCAGTTTTAATGGTGGTTTAGGACTATAGCTCATTTAAAGAGAAGAGGGTCTTATGTGTATTCCAAAGCCCCTAATATTTATCTGGTGACCATGTGGGAAAGAATTGGGCATGGCAACAGAAGGTACAAAATAAGTTTACCAAACTTTTATACAAATTGGCTTACCCATTCATCTGTTGCGACATACATTTAATAAAGAGTAGTTGGTGTGTGTGCACGCATGCATGTACAGATATTTCTTTTTAGAAGCAAACTTTGGAAAAATTAGTTCTAATTGCATTCATTTGAATGCAGGGTACTGTGGAAAATGAACTGACTGCATCATTTTGATATTCATGGTAGGTTTTCTTTGGTCATTGTTTAGAGTCTCGAGTCCTGATCACATCTTTCTTCCGATCCCAAACTGGGAGCACAAGGAGAACCCTGAGACTGAAGAAGATGTTGGGCCTGTTGTTCAGCACATTTACGAGGTTTGCCACTGTTGGATGTACATGAAACCTTCAGAGAGCTACCAAACAGGGACAAGCTAGGCTTTGAAAATAATTTCGGTGTAATTTTTATGAAAATTCTGCATATTGTTTATACTTCACAGATATTTGAATTTCAACCTGGTTCATAAGTTCATTTTTACCAGTCACATAACTGGTTAAATCAATTTATATAAAAATTTGTAAAGCTAATTAGTTCTCTGTGGATATTTTGCAATTATGACTATAATTTGAAAATATTGAACAGTCAGCATTTTCTTTCTACCAGAAGGGTATTTTCTTTTTTTAAATCATTTTATTAGGGGCTCATACAACTCTTATCACAATCCATACACACATCAATTGTGTAAAGTGCATTTGTACATTCATTGCCCTCATCATTCTCAAAACATTTTCTCTCCACTTAAACCCCCAGGCATTAGGTCCTCATTTTTCCCCTACCTCCCCACTCCCCCCTCCCTCATAAGCCCTTGATAGTTTATAAATTGTTATTTTGTCATATCTTGCCCCGTCCGACGCCTCCCTTCACCCACTTTTCTGTTGTCCGTCCCCCAGGGAGGAGGTTCACATATAGTTCCTTGTAACCGGTTCCCTCTTTCCTACCCACTCTCCCTCTATAGACCCTCCCTGTTTTGCCACTCACACCACTGGTCCTGTAGGGCTCATCTGCCCCGGATTCCCTGTATTTTCAGTTCCTATCTGTACCAGTGTACATCCTCTGGTTTAGCCAGACTTGCAAGGTCGAATTCGAGTCATGGTAGTGGGAGCGGGTAGGAAACATTTAGGGACTAGAGGAAAGTTGTATTTTTCATCATTGTTACATTTTACCCTGACTGGCTCATCTCCTCCCCGAGACCCCTCTGCAAGGGGATCTCCAGTGGCCTACTGATGGGCTTTGGGTCTCCACTCCACACTCCCCCCATCATTCACTATGGTAAGATTTTTTTTTCTGATGATGCCTTATACCTGATCCCTTCGACACCTTGTGGTTGCAGAGGCTGGTGTGCTTCTTCCATGTGGGCTTTGTTGCTTCTGAGCTTGATGGCTGCTTGATTACCTTCAAGCCTTTAAGACCCCAGATGCTATACTTTTTGATAGCCGGGCACCATCAGCTTTCTTCGCCACATTTGCTTATGCACCCATTTGTCTTCAGTGATCCGTTCGACACCTCGTGATCACACAGCGGAAGGATATTTTCCTTGCCTGCTAATAACTTTAAAATATTATCCTCTTATTTAGCCTTTCATTCGGACACATATAACCTTTTTTTTAGAGCCAGTTGTTGAGTTTGATTTTTTTTTTTAATTTTTAAGTTATGTGCTCAGGTACAATATTAGAGTAACTGGAAAATCTGTAATTTAAATCATGTTGCTAATAGAACAATTAAAGTTAATTAGGAGAATGATTTTAAAATAGATTTCTGCGCAAAGTATTTTATATTTTCTTTTTTTCACTAGCTGAGGAATAATGGTCCAAGTTCATTCAGCAAGGCAATGCTAAATCTTCAGTGGCCTTACAAATATAACAACAACACCTTGTTGTACATCCTTCAATACGATATTGATGGCCCAATGAACTGTACTTCAGATATGGAGATTAACCCTCTAAGAATTAAGGTAATGTGCTTAATAGCAACTCTTCATTTTGAAGATATTTGTTTTTCTAAGTGTATAAAACTAATCATGAAATATAAACAACTGTTTAATACAAACTCAGCAAAAATACTTCTGAAGTTCTTAATTATTACACTATCAAAGAGTCTTTGTATTATTAGTAAAGATTAATTCTGTGTGTATAGTTTTGTAATATCCAGTGAGCTTCAGCTCATAAACTTTAGTGACTCAGTTTGACCTTCACATCATCACATTGAGGTTTATCCAGTGTATATTAGTCTGTTAGGGGCGGTCAGTGGTGAATCAGTAGTAGAATTCTCACCTTCCAAGTTTGATTGCTGTCCCAGGTACCTCAAGGGTAGACATCACTCATCTGTCATTGGGAACTTGCATGTTGCTGTGATAGTGAACAGCTTCCAGCAGAACTTCCAGACTGAGACATACCAGGAAGAAATACCTGACAATCTACTTCCAAAAACTAACCAGTGAAAACCCTGTGTATTGTCACAATTGTCCTATCCCATTGTACCTGGGTCCCCCATTGCCCACTCAACAACTAACAGAAACCAGATGTGTGGAGTTTCTGTCTTTAGGAAAAGATGAAACCCTTACACTGGACTGTCTTGACTTACAGAGCCTAGAGAAATGTCATTATATGTGATTATATATCATCTGAATAGGGTCTTCTTCATCCTAGCATACACATTGAATAAGAAAAGTTAACAAAATAAAATGTAAGTTCAGGATTGAACACTTCTCAGAGTTATGATGTAAACCTTAAACTCTTTCTGTATTTCATCACTTTCCCCTCCAGCTATGAAAGTTGAAGAAAAACCAGGGTTAGGTAGAGGTAAATTCTGTCTACATAGTAAAGACTCTCTTAATTTATTTTCTGTCCTTACTTTTGGCCGTATATCAGTGGTTATTTCTGTCATACATAAACTCATTTTTGATTGATGCTTTTTAGTAGACGAGTGTATGTCAAACTGTCAATATAAAAACATTGTTCTTATTTTCATTTACCACCATTTCATGAATGCAATCCTAGGTCTCAACTTCACAAGCATCTGAAAAGAATGACACAGTTGCCGGGCAGGGTGGCCGGAACCACCTCATCACTAAGCGGGATCTCACCCTCAGTGAGGGGGATGTTCACACTTTGGTAAGTGTCATTTTAACTACACACATTTTAAATATTTTCAAAATGTGATTATAAGACTGATGCCAAATAACATTTCAAAAATAACAACAGCTATGCCCAGAAGAACTACATATTTTTATACCATTCAATCTTTTTACTTTCCTTGTTCCAAATCAAATTAGCCTCATATATTCTTCAAATGATCTATCTTTGTAGATTGCTAATAGTATTTCATTTTTTGAATTATTTTCAGACTGTTCTCTTACTGACCTCTTGTCTCACCCTCATGAGTCTGGTGTCCACAGTTTCAGGGATGCAGGCCTTAGGAGATACATGGCAAGAGGGGGTTTCAACGAGCCTTCAGATAAGAGGGGAGGACAAGAACAAGGAGGAAGGAACCGTTTGCTCACACTCAGATTGCTCAGCATATTCTGAATTTCAAGAGTTTTAAAACCAGGAGCCCTGATTTTCCCTTTTCATTGAATACACTTAGCATCTTGTTGAGAATCAATTGACCATAATATCAAGAAGTGTAGGTTCTTCTAATTTAGTCAAGATTGCTTTAGTTATGTGGAGTTCCTTGTCCTTCCATGTAAATTTTTGGGTTGGTTTTTCTAGGTTTTGAAAAGAAGGTTGTTAGAATTCTGATGGAGATTACATTGAATTTATTACCATATATACTCATGTATAGGCTGAGTTATCAGCACAGTATTTATGCTGGAAAAGCCCTCCTCGGTTTATATTCGAGTGAGGGTCCCACTTTCCTGTTCTCCGGTGCAGTGTGGATGTTCTCCGGGTCTCTCCTGCTCATCTGCAGGTGCCTGCAGCCTCTGTGGGTGGTCGGATGACTGCTGATATCACGGCCCTTCTTTCCTCCTGCACGCCGGCAGCCTCTGTGTTGTCCGAGCTGTACTGGTCAAGGACCTGCCCGCTTTTGTGCGCTGTTACCTGGGGCGCACCGCATCCTTGTCAGATGAACGTCAGGTGCAGGCCCTGTCCTTCTCCAGGACTGTGACCAATGACGTAGCCTTTACAGTCTTATCCGTACTTGGTCACGCCCCCTTGCTCCGCCCAATCTTTGCTGAACACAAGTACTGGTATATCTTTGGTCTTGGATATGCAGTACATTTATTTACATTACTTAGTCTGCTATATCTTATTTTTATTTTCTTATTAACCCCTATCTGGACCCAGTATTGACTGTGCTTGCATAGAGCAGCCCGTGCTAGGGCTCATAATATACACAATGTGTGGTGTACGCACTGTGTTACTGCATGTGTTGCGTGAGCACTTCCCATACATATGCGTTAACACTGCGTATGCAGTAACAGTGTGTACGCAATGCAGCATGTATATTAGGAGCCCTAAACACAGGCTGCTCTATGAAAACAGTCATGTCATCACATTCTGGAATATCATCAGCTTGTGTTAGGCCTCAAACTATACAAGCTGTGTTGTGTACATCTGGTAAGTCAATGTATATAGTAATGCGCATGCAGTGAGACAGCATATATAATTATTTCCACTTACAGAGCCAGTTTACTGTTTTTCTCTGAAATAAATATTCAAAAACATTTAACCTATTGATGCCTCAATTAATGTAATTTTATTGGTATCTATTTTTATTTTGAAAGTTTACCAGTAGATGCTGCATTTCCCACCCTAGGCTTATACTCAAGTCAATAAAGTTCCCAGTTCTTGTGGTAAAATTAGGTGCCTCAGTTTATTTTCAGGTTGGCTACTACTCGAGTATATATGGTAAATTGCTCTGGGGACTTAATTTATATAT